TATATGAATTGCTTTTTACCTTCAGAATGTCTCTTAGCAGCTCATTTTTTTGTTCTTACTATAGTAAGACGTGTTTTCAGAGGGTGATGACTCATACCTGATGCTAAATATATTTGTGTCTTCATAATATGTAGGACGTGGAGGTACCACATGAGCATAACCTAGAGTTTGGTTCAGCTTATTGGGAAAGCACTTCAACAGTCCCACTTTTGGATGCAGAATTGGCATTGAGAGTGAAGGAGCAGTCAGGGAAGCCTTGTGGCTTCTTGGTTAGAAAGACAGTTTTGACATCTCGTACTCTTGTGTTTGTAATCACTGGTTTTGCTGTGTGTCTTGGTCTATGTGCAACCTTCCTGCACCCCAGAAAAGTTGGTGAATTCGCTATGACAATTCGGAGGTGTCTGTTTGACAACTCTTAAATTGCATGTACACCTTTTAACCAAATGAACTCTCTGTAATTACAGAATATAGGCGCGATCCCCAGCATTCGGGTCCCCTGCCGTGACTGGTCTTGTATGATGTTCCTGTGTTTGCTACAATTGCATATCAAGAAACTGGCAAATATTCCTGCCTTTGCTACCACTGCATCTCAAGAAATTGAACAGCATGGAGTGGAGAGATAGTGGTTAGTTTCTGACCGTTAAGACCAAATGCCTATTGGGAGACATGCTTTGCGGCATTCTTGATGTATTATACAAATTGTGCTCTGTAAGCACAAAAACTGTATTAGCTGTATAGCTTCACTTGTTACTTTGTACAAGTTCTCAGGTAATCACTGTGGACTTCACTATAACTTTATGGTTACTGACATCAGTTGTCCTCAAAAGAGTAGATACACATTAGCATTTGCAGATATTGTTTTGTGCTTAACAACTTTAAGGGATTGAGGTGGGACTCTTTGAATATTTTGATGTGAATATACGTAGAAGAGGCAGGCCTATTTGGCCATGAAATAATCGATTCAATATTCCAGTGCTGAACTAAATACTATTAGTTTGGGCAAAGAGCGTTTGCAAAATTTGCATTTCACGTGAAATTTTGAAATAGTGATGTGAAGGTGTATTTCGAGTGAAGTGTTGGTTTCCATTCAGAAAATTTTAACGTTCGCAAATTTTTTGTGCAACTTTAGCTTCTGCTAACTTTTTTGCCTATTTCAATTTCAACTCATATACTGTTGAAGCTGAAAATTTTGATTAAGAATCTTGGATCAACCGTCCATAATGAAATGAAAGGTTAGAAGCCCTGCACTTCCTCTTCCTCTGAATAATACTATAAAGATGAAAAAAACAATAAAACATTAACACCAATAAAGGCCAAAAAGATAGTACCAACACCCTAAGAAAGAAATCACAATTCCAAGTCTTCTTGGAAAACCCTCCAATCATTTTCCAAAAATTAAAATAGTATCAATGTCATAAAATAATAAATTAAGGAGAAACACCCTTGGGATTAAAATATATTAAGATCCAGGCTTCTGTGCGCAGCTCTCTTAATGTCCAATTCTGCTAGAGTAGATTAATTCCTGTGCAAGGCATAGAACAAGTGTCAATTTTCTATGAGAAGTACTTATGCATACTTGGTGTTTAAACCAAATCACATGAATTTACCACAGTTGAAGATAAATTGAGAAATGAAAATATACGCAAATTAACTAGAGTTAAGTGATAAAATGTGTATAAAAGACGTGTGATACATTCACCGATATGGTGAAAACACCGGGTTTGTGTAGTTTTTTTTTTTCTGTTTGCTACTATGTAAATGCATGAAATTCCACCATGTACCCTCAATAATCCAACTCTTTAATTGATGAAACCATTTCTCTTTTTTGGGCCAGGAGAGGGGCGGGGAGGGGAAAGGTGGGGAGATTCTTTAAGCTGTTCATCTATAGACTATAGACTGTATCTTGTAACATGATAATAGCTTCTGCAAAAGCTTCTGCAAAGCAAACAACAACAACAAACCCAACGGGATCCCACAAGTAGGGTCTGTGGAGGGTAATGTGTACGCAGATCTAACCTCTATCTAAATAAGGTAGAGAGGTTGTTTCCGATAGACCCTTGGCTCAAGACCAATGAGAAAGAAGCAATAAACATATAATAGCAATAACAAGTAATAGGCAATGGAAGCAAATGACAAAGCATGTAATAACAAAGATCTATGAATACGAAAACCATTTCTTAGAAGGTAACGGAGTTTACTAAAAGTGCATCCTAATAATGCTGCCAAATTAGTTAACAAAATTGCAAACACAGGTTTCCTAGGCAAAGAAAATACAGTGGCTATTGAATAATTTACTTGAGGAAGAAGACAATCAGCTACAAGCCATCCTATTGTAGCAAGTAAATCACAACAGAAAATAACACGCTTCGCTTCTGCATAAAAGAGCTTCGTTCAACTTTTGCTAACTTATTTAAGATAGAAATATGATGAACCACTAAGCAGCAGTTAGTTAGCTTCTTAAGCTGTAATACGACCTGATATCTATCTTTAGTCTTTGTAGTGATAGTTCTTGACAATTATACAATCAAGGAGGCATACGACATAAGATTAATTCTGTTTCCAAAGCAGCTAGATAACAGTTTTAAAGTCAAATTGCTTAAAAACAGAAAGCATGGGAGTGGCTATGACTAATTTTACATGAGCTCATTGTGAGATGAGTGTCATGATTCAAAGAACAGTAAAAACATCTAGAACTATTCCTTTTCAAGACGGCTTGTGCTCAAAATTGAACTATTCTTTTCCGTAAGATGCGCCACCATTCTATGATGCCGAATTAGTTCAATCTACAAATCCAAGTTTTTTCTTTCATTTATACAATTAACTTTTCTTGAGGACTAAAGAATTATCATCACAACACTCTCCGAGGACAAAAGAATTACCATTCACAAAACTATAAAAGGGTTCATTTCATTGAATCAAATATGGACCAATTTAAAATTTTTGTGCAAAAGTCACTAAAAATGATTAAAAAATAATGAAAATATTGATGATATACCTGAATACAGCATCATCTCAGAACGTCAAGCAATAAAGATACCTCCAAACGTAGGAGAGACAAAACTCTCCATGAAAGGTTTAGTTCTGTGAAATGTAGGAGTTAATCAATCAACCATCATATCCCTCCACTGATCTTCTTTCCTATTGTAGACAATCAACTTCACTCCATCCACATCCAGTACAACATTATCATCACTCACGAAACATAAGGGGGTCAAACGTGACACTATATTTGGTGGTTCTGTAATACTAAATCTGGTCCAAGACTCATCAAAACCATATTCTCTCATCATCCAAACTTTCCCACGTCTAGAGAACACACAAAGACACCCTCTAAGAGCCACAATATTACACCCAAGCAAATCAAGGTTATAAAGCTCAGTAGGTGTTGGCACCTCCAAGAATTTCTCATCACTTAAATCAAAAGCAACAATTATACATGTAGGAGGAGCAACAACAATACATGATTAATTATAAGCTTCAATTATACATGAAGGATCGGAATCTTTCTGAGCCATCCAATGCAAAGCTCCATTTACCAAAACCCCAGAGAACCAGAACAAGAACCAACCGAAAGCGTTATATGATCATGAGTTGAACTCTCAACTCTCCTCCATAGACCCGTTTTCACAGAGTAGACATCCACAAAAGTAGAGGCAAGATCCCATCTACGAGAAAGATTAACCAACTTATAATCATCGCCAGCAGAATCATACCCTAAACCATACATGCTAAGGCTATCTGGCACAGGAAGAGCCAAATGAAAGGTTGGAATTCTATGGTACTTTAAGGTTGTGGGGTTTATCAAAAAAGTGATATTGTCCTCATTCATCACCAAGACTAAGCCATTACATGAGCCAAGCACATTAACCCAGTTCTCTGGGAGCTGCTGTAAATTTAGGTTTCTTGAAATGGCATCAATTGTTCCATTTTGGTGGTTGCGGTTAAACGTGATAGTGTGAATAGAATTTGAACGAGAGGTAAAAATGAGTTTCTTTTCACTCTTATGGGCATACAAATTGAGGTGAGCTTTGATGAAATGTGGGTATGAGAGAAGAGAGCACCATCGCTTTGATACGCACCTGAATTGACCTACGGACTTTGCGGGCAGCCGGGTAAGTATGTCAACTATGATTTCTTCGGGTAAATTTTTAGCTTTACTCATTGCCATTGTTGGGGACTTGGATTTGGAGGAAAAACTAAATACGAGGTGGAGAGCTCGTGTATTTGCCTGACTAGTATTTTAATGGAGGAAGCTACTGGTTTTAATGGAGGGAATGGGTTCTTTTCCGATGGGGGTCAAAGTGGCGTACATGGTACAAGGGTGAAAGACAGTGAAGGTGACAAATAGCTTCCTACTGCTTTTTGTTCCGAGGCTGCTAGGTTTTGGTGGCTACTTGAATTTTTAGGCGCGTATTTAAAAATAGGAAAAGGGCCAAAAATACCACAAATACCCTCCTTCCATCATTTGGTCTGAAAATACTCTCAATCTTTATTTTTGGCTCATGGATACCCCTTAAACTAATGGCCTAAATCTCGGTGAAATTTGGCTCTTTAAAATAGCCACATGGCGTATTATGATTTGCCACGGTTTTTATTCAGGATTAAATTAAAATCCACCCATTTTTTAAACCTCCCCTCTCTTTTTTTTACTTAGATTATATTCACCAAAATTTCCATTCCCAACATGAATCCCCCACGATGAAGCTCTTTGGCTCTCTGATTTGCTTTACTCTAAACCTCTATGCTGACATTTTCATTTTTTCAACACTCCATCAAAGCTTCTTGTATACGGTCAAGATCGGGCCTATCCGATTTTGCTATTTGATCGAAGCAAAGGAGTCGCATTGGGCTTAATCTCGTAATGAATCAGACTCGCGCTCGAAGACGAGATATCGAGTCCAAGGATCGAAGTGTTCCTCGAGACTGAGGCCAGCAGCAATCGAGACTAAGTATGCCCAACTTCGAGTGAAATACAATAACAGATAGGCAAAATATTTGTAACTAGTCGAAGATCACGGCGGAAATCTCAGAGCAGATCAAATCAAAGGCGGTTATTTGTATCAATCAAGGGATTTACTTCCGTAATTAGAATTGTACCACAATTAGGATTCCTCTAGTATATAAAGAGGGG